CTTCTTATTTCTTCCCTCCTCTAGCCTAGTTATTCTGGCTCTTGGTGTGTTTAAGCAAACATATTTAATCTATCCTTTTTATACCTGTTCTATATCTCCTTCTTACTCTCCTCTCCCTATGGATTAAGTCGTATAGTTTCTCTGCCTGATCAATATTATTTTCTCTTCTGTTTCCCCACCCCTGTTCTTTCTCTCTTTGTATGGGATAAGGCCTCTTCCACTGATACTGCCCCCACCCCATTGGTTTTTAGTTGTTGCTACTGTTTTTGTTTTTGGGGGGGTTTGTTTTGTTTTGTTTTAATGTTTTTTAGGGGGGGGTTTGTTGTTGTTGTTGTTGTTGTTTTCCCAGGGCTACCTCAATGAACAAATCAAAGCATGCCAGGTAGAGGATCCAAAACATCACTACAAGTAGGGAGATAAAGCAACCAGAGTCAGAAAAATAGAGAGCAAGTAACATAGTCCAAAAAACACCTCCTGAAGGGCCAGGCCCTGGACAATCTATGACCCTTCTTTATATAGTAGTGCTTGCAAGTGCAGGACAAATAACAAGTCTTTAAAACCCATAAGGGACAGAACACTAGCCAAGGTGACAAAATGGAAACATTCTCCTCAAAATAAATTCCAGGAAGAAATGATAGCTAAAGATTTGATCAAAAACAGATATAAACAATATAACTGAGCAGGAATTTAGAGTAATAGCCATAAGATTGATTGCTGAGTTTGAAAAAAGCATAAAAGACAGCAGAGAATCTATTGCTGCAGAGTTCAAGGAACTAAAAACTAGTCATGATGAATTAAAAAATGTTGTAAATGAGGTGAAAAATAAACTCGAGGTGGTGACAGAGAGGATTGAACAGGTAGAGAGAAGAGTAAGTGAAATAGAAGATAAAATTATGGAAAAAGATGAAGCTGAGGAAAAAAAAGAGATTAAAAATATATCAGACCACAAGAGGAAAATTAGATAACTAAGTGACTCAATGAAATGTGATAATATCTGGGGCGCCTGGATGGTTCAGCCGGTTACGCTTCCGACTTTGGCTCAGGTATGATCTCACAGCTTGTGAGTTCAAGCCCTGTGTCAGGCTCTGTGCTGACAGCTCAGAGCCTGGAGCCTGCTTCAGGTTCTGTGTCTCCATCTCTCTGCTCCTGTCCCACTCATTCTCTCTCTCTCTCTCTCAAATAAATAAACATTAAACATTTTTACTTAAAAAAATTTTTTTAATGTAATAATATCTGTATCATAGGAGTTCTAGAAGAAGAAGAGAGAGAAAGGGGCTGAAAGTGTGATTGAACAAATCATAGCTGAGAACTACCCCAATCTGGGAAAGGAAACAGACACTGAAATCTAGGAGGCACAGAGAACTCCCTTCAGATGTAACAGGAATTGATCTCCTGCACAACATATCATAGTGAAACTGGCAAAATACAAAGATAAAGAGAGAATTCTGAAAGCAGCTAGGGATAAATGAGCTTTAACACACAGGGGTAGACACATAGGGGTAGTAACAGACATATCTACCAAAATTTGGCAAGCCAGAAGAGTGGCAGGAAATATTCAGTGTGCTGAATAGAAAAGTATGCAGCCAAAAATCCTTTATCCAGCAAGTCTGTCATTCAGAATAGAAGGAGAGATAAATGTTTTCCCAGATGAACAAAAACTGAAGGAGTTCATCACCACTGAGCCAGGTCTACAAGAGATCCTAAGGGGGACTTTGGGAGTGGAATGTTGTAAAGACCAGAAAGGACCAGAGACATCACTAGAAGCATGAAACCTACAGATCACACAATGACACTAAATCCATCTTAAATCTATCTCTTTTAATAATAACACTGACTGTAAATGGACTAAATACTCCAATCAAAAGATATAGGGTATCAGCATGGATGGAAAAAAAAAAAAAAAAGACCCATCTATTTGCTGTTTATAAGAGACTCATTTAAAACTTTTTTAATGTTTTATTTATTTCTGAGAGAGAGAGAGAGAGAAACAACGTGAGCAGGAGAAGGTCAGAGAGAGAGGGAGATACAGAATTGGAAGCAGGCTCCAGGCTGTGAGCTGGCTGTCAGCGCAGAGCCCAACGCAGGACTCGAACCCATGAACTGTGTGATCATGACCTGAGCTGAAGTCGGACGCTTAACCAACTGAGCCACCCAGGTGCCCATAATTTTTTTTTTAATTTTTTAACGTTTTCTTTATTTCTGAGAGAGAGCGAGAGAGACAGCGTGTGCAGGGGAGGAAAGAGACACATTTTAGACCTGAGGACACCTTTAGATTGAAAGTGAGGGATGGAGAATCATCATGCTACTGGAAGTCAAAAGAAAGCTGGAGTAGTCATACTTATGTAAGACAAACTAGATTTTAAACTAAAGGCTGTAACAAGAGATGAAGAAGGGCATTATATCATAATTTTCCATCAGAAAGAGCTAACAATTATAAGTATTTATACATCCAACTCAGCAGCACCCAAATATATAAAACAATTAATCACAAACTTAAGCAATTTTATTGATAAGACTATGGTAATTGCAGGGGACTTTAATACTCCACTTATAGCAATGGATAGATCATCCAGGCAGAAAATCGATAAAGAAACAATGGCCCTGTAAAACTCACTGAACCAGATGGACTTGACAGATATATTCAGAACTTTTCATCCAAAAGTAGCAAAATACACATTCTTGGCTGCACATGGAATATTCTCCAAGACAGATCACATACTGGGTCATAAAACAGCTCTCAATAAATATAAAAGAATTGGGATCACACCATATACACTTTCAGATCACAATGTTATGAAACCTGAAATCAACCACAGGAAAAAGTGTGGAAAATCTCCAAATGCATGGAGGTTAAAGAACATCCTACTAAAGAATGAATGGGTCAACCAGGCAATTAAAGAAGAAATTAAAAATATATGGAAACAAATGAAAATGAAAACACAATAGTCCAAACCCTCAGGGATGCAGCAAAGGCAGTCCTAAGAGGAAAATACATTGCAATCCAGGCCTATCTCAAGAAACTAGAAAAATCTCAAATATAAAATCTAACAGCACACCTAAAAAAACTAGAAGCAGAATAGCAAAGAAACTCCAAAGATAGCAAAAGAGGAGAAATAATAAAGATCAGGGCATAAGTAAGCAATATAGAATAAAGAAAAACAGTATAACAGATCAATGAAACTAAGAGGTGGGTTTTTTTTGAAAAAATAAACAAAATGGATAAACCCCTAGCCAGATGTTTCAAAAAGAAAAGAGAGAGGACCCAAATAGATAAAATCACGAATGAAAATGGACTTACCACAACCAACCCCTCAGAAATACAAACAATTATCAGAGAATGATACTATGAAAAATTATATGCCAACAAACTGGACAACCTGGAAGGAATGGACAAATTCCTAGACACCCACACACTACCAAAACTCAAACTGGAAGAAATAGAAAATTTGAACAGACCTATAACTAGAAAATTTGAACAGTTATCAAAAATCTCACAACAAATAAGAGTCCTGGGCCGAATGGCTTCCCAGGGGAATTCTACCAGACATTTAAAGCAGAGCTAATACCTATCTTTCTCAAGATGTTCCAAAAGATAGAAATGGAAGGAAAACTTTCGGACTCATTCTCTGAAGTCAGAATTACCTTAATTCCCAAATCAGGCAGAGACCCCACAAAAAGGAGAATTATAGACCAATATCCCCAATGAACGTGGATGCAAAAATTCTCAACAAGATACTAGCAAATCAAATTCAAGAGCATATAAAAATAATTATCTACCATGATCAAATGGGATTTTTCATGGGCTACAGGGCTGGTTCAATATTCGCAAATCAACCAATGTGATACATCACATTAATTTAAAAAAAAAGGATAAGGACCATATGATCCTGTTAATAGCTGCAGAAAAAGTATTTGACAAAATACAGCATCCTTTCTTAATAAAGACCCTCAAGAAAGTTGGGATAGAAGGAACATATTTAAACATCATAAAAGCCATATATGAAAAGCCCACAGTTAATATCATCCACAATGGAAAAAAACTGAGATCTATCCTCCTGAGATCAGGAACACGACAGGGATGTCCACTCTTACCAATGTTGTTTAACAGAGTGTTGGAAGTCCTAGCATCAATAATCAGACAATAAAGTGAAATAAAAGGCATAAGAATTGGCAAAGAAATCAAACTTTCACTTTTTACAGATGGCATGATATTCCACATGAAAAATCCAAAAGACTCCACCACAAAGCTGCTAGAACTGATACATGAATTCAGCAGAGTCACAGGATACAAAATCAATGTTGAGAAATCAGTTGCATTTCTATATGCCAATTATGAAGCAATAGAAAGAGAAATGAAGAAATCGATCCCATATACAATTGCACCAAGAACCGTAAAACACCTAGGAATAAACCTAACTAACCAAGAACATAAAAGATCTGTATGCTGATAACTATAGAAAACTTCTGAAGGAAACTGAAGAAGACACAAAGAAACAGAAAAACATTCCATGCTCATGGGTTGGAAGAATAAATATTGTTAAAATGTCAATACCACCCAAAGCAATCTACACATTCAATGCAATCCTAATCAAAATTGCACCAGTATCCTTCTCAAAGCTAGAACAAACTATCCTAAAACTTGTATGGAACCACAAAAGACGCCAAATAGCCAAAGTAATGCTGAAAAAGAAAACCAAAGCAAGAAGCATCACAATCTCCGACTTTAGCCTCTACTACAAAGTTGTAATCATCAGACAGTATGGTATTGGCACAAAAAATAGACACATAAACCAATGGAATAGAATAGAGAACCCAGAAATGAACCCACAAAATGTATGGCCAACTAATCTTTGACAAAGCAAGAAAAAGAATCCAATGGAAAAAAGAAAATCTTTTTTTTTTTTTTCTTAAAGCTATTTATTAGTGATTCAGTATGTTTAAAAACAGGAGACTTAGGCACATTTTATCAAGAAAACTTTAAAGCTATGATAAACATTTTAAGAGACATAACTGTTTGCTTATGTGAACTTTAACTAAACAGAAGGCTCTGAAAAAAATCTTTTCCTTTTATTAAAAAAAATAAAATAAAATAACAACATGGGCAAATTCCCAATGCTCTAGTAGGGTTATGGAGTTGTTCTTTAAGCAAACTTAAATAATATAACATTTTAAACTTAATTAGGTGTGTCACATTCACATCTTCATTTATTTTATTAAAAGACCCTCAGATACCTTGAAATATAAATCTCAGCGTAATTCTCTGAAGTAATGAAGGTACATAGAAAGAGGAATAAGTTTCAGTAACATCAGCATCCTTTATTATATTACAAATAAGTCAAATAGATACTTGCTTTAACATATGTACTACTTTATATTAAATTTTTTGATGACTGGATAAATTTGAGATGTGTTCTAAGTTTAAAGGAGAAAGTCAGAAGAGTAACGTTGCATAGCATAAACATAAAACCACAGACCATTCTTTTTCCTCGCTTAATCTCCTGAAGTACAGTTTTAATATCAAAATCTCCAAATTCTGCTCTTGATGTTGTTGTGAGCTGCACTGTGCCAGAAGAAAATAACATGCACTTATAATGTGCAGCTGCCTTCTTGGCATTAAATATATGCAGTTTTCCTCTGGCTTCATTTTCTTCCTCCCCTACATGACAAAATCCACATTTAGGCCTGGTGTCACTAGGGCTGCTTCTATGTGGAGATCTATCTCTGTAGGAACTACTTTCCATTTCATCTGTTCCATGAGAGGATGTAGACCTGGTATCTTCCGAGAGCCCTTTAAAATTGGTTTTGCGTGGCCTTCCTTTGCGACTTTTCTTTTTACTTTTAGGTGATGAGGGCTCCAGTTCATGTTCATTAAAACTTTCTTCTAAATCAGCTTCTGAGTTATGTGCAGTTTTCTTGTGTTTTCGGCAATAAACCATGTAAATTCCTTGTGAAGGTTTCTCTCGTATCTGAGCTTTATCATGCAACGCACAGTGGTAGTGGTATGTCCTGTGACATGTTTTCACATCACAACCAATCGTTGCTCCAGGACAATGGCACAGAGAACACATCAGCTTCGTGCCTCTTTTAATTTCCTTTTGGACATCTTCAATAGAAAATCCACCAAGACTTTCGTTATCAGAGTGTGATGATACCAAAGCAGATGAAAAGAGCATGCACTTATGGTGCGCTGCCACCTTCTGGTTTGCCGAGATTAGTAACTGTCCACACTCCTTGTCTCTATTTGACTTACAAAAGCCACACTTGCGCTGTCTTGTGGGCCCTTTTTTCTGTTCAACTGAGCTTGACATGATTTTTAAATTGCTTTTAGAATGCCACTTTAAGCCTCAAGAAATGCGGCGGGGCCCGGAGGCGAACGGCAGGGGAGAAGCGCCAATGAGGGGAAAGAGAAAGAAGTCGGTGTCGGTTCTCCGGCAGCGCCTGGGAGCGGGGCTCTGTCGCCGGAGGTTGTTTCCTTTCATTCGAGGAGAGACGGGCTCGCCAAGAAAATCTTTTTAACTGGGAGAACTGGACCGCAACATGCAGAATGAAACTAGACTGCTTTCATGGTGCCTGGGTGGCTTAGTCGGTTAAGCGTCCGACTTTCGCTTAGGTCATGATCTCGCAGTTCGTGGGTTCGAGCCCCGCGTCGGGCTCTGTGCTGACTGCCAGCTCAGAGCCTGGAGCCTGTTTTAGAGTCTGTGACTCCCTCTCTCTCTGACCCTACCCTGCTCATGCTGTCTCTCTCTCTCTCTCCTAGAAATAAATAAAACGTTAAAAAAAAATAAAAAAAAAAAAGAAACTAGACTGCTTTCTTACACCATACACAAAAACAAACTCAAAATGGATGAAAGACCTAAATATGAGACAGGAAACCATTAAAACCCTAGAGGAGAAAACAGGCAACAATCTTTTTGACTTCAGCCACAGCAATTACTTGCTTGGCACATCTCCAAAGGCAAGGGAATTAAAAGCCAAAATGAACTTTCAGGACCTCATCAAGATAAAAAGCTTATGCTCTGCAAACGAAACAATCAACAAAGCTAAAATACAACTGACAGAATGGGAGAAGATAATTGCAAATGACATATCAGATAAAGGGGTAGTATACAAAATCTATAAAGAACTTACAAAACTCAACACCCAAAAATACAAATAATACAGTGAAGAAGTGGAAAGAAGACATGAATAGACACTTTTCCAAAGAAGACATCCAGATGGCCAACAGACATGAAAAGATGCTCAGTGTCACTCATCATCAAGGAAATACAAATCAAAACCACATTGAGATACCACCTCACACCAGTCGGAGTGGCTAAAATGAACCACTCAGAAAACAGCAGATGCTGGTGAGGATATGGAGAGATGGGAACCTTCTTGTACTGTTGGTGGGAATGCAAACTGGAGCAGTCACTCTGGAAAACAGTGTGGAGGTTCCTCAAAAACTTAAAAATAGAACTACCCTCCAAATAAACAGAAATTGAAAGAATTTGTCACCACGAAGCCAGCCCTACAAGAAATCCTGAGGGGGATGCTCTGAAGGAAACGTTGCAAGGAACAAAGATACCAGAGACACCACCACAAACATGAACCCTACAAAAGATACAAAGACTCTAAACCCACATATTTCAATAATAACACTGAATGTAAATGGGCTGAATGCTCCAACCAAAAGACATAGGGTAGCAGAATGGATTAAAAAACAAAATCCATCTATATGCTGTCTACAAGAAACTCATTTTAGACGGGAAGATACCTTCAGATTAAAAGTAAGGGGATGGAGAAATATATATCATGCTACAGGAAATCAAAAGAAAGCCGGAGTAGCGATACTTATATCAGACAAACTGGACTTTAAATTAAAGACAATCACAAGAGATGAAGAAGGGCACTACATAATAATTACAGGGTCCATCCATCAGGAAGAACTAACAATCATAAATGTCTACGCACCGAATATGGGAGCACCTAAATATCTAAAACAATTAATCACAAACAGAAACAAGCTTATAGATAAGAATGTGCTAATAGCAGGGGACTTTAATACTCCGCTTACAGCAATGGATAGGTCAACCAGACAGAAAATCACTAAAGAAATAATGGACTTGAAAGACACATTGGACCAGATGGATCTGACGGATATATTTAGAACTTTACATCCTGAGGCCAGGGAATTTACTTTCTTCTCAAGTGCGCATGGCACATTCTCCAAGATAGATCACATACTGGGACATAAAGCAGCCCTCAATAAATATAAAAGAATAGAGATCATACCATGCACACTGTCAGATCACAATGCTTTGAAACTTGAAATCAATTACAGGAAGAAGTCTGGAAAACCGCCAAAAACATGGAGGTTAAAGAACACCCTTCTAAAGAATGAATGGGCCAATCAGGCAATTAGAGAGGAAATTAAAAAATATATGGAAACAAATGAAAATGAAAACACAACAATTCAAAATCTATGGGATGCGGCCAAGGCAGTCCTAAGAGGAAAGTACATTGCTCTCCAGGCCTATTTCAAGAGATTAGAAAAAGCACAAGTCCAAAATCTAACAGCTCACCTAAAGGAGCTAGAGGCAGAGCAACAAGAACGCCCTAAACCCAGTAGAAGAAGAGAAATAGTAAAAATTAGAGCAGAAATAAACAACATAGAGACCAAAGAAACAATTGAACAGATCAATGAAACCAAGAGTTGGTTTTTTGAAAAAGTAAACAAAATTGACAAACCTCTAGCCAGGCTTATCAAAAAGAAAAGAGAGAGCACCCAAATAGACAAAATTATGAATGAAAATGGACTTATTACAACCAACCCCTCAGAAATACAAGCAATTATCAGGGAATACTATGAAAAATTATATGCCAACAAATTGGACAACTTAGAAGAAATGGACAAATTCCTAAACACACACTCACTACCAAAATTCACACGGGAAGAAATAGAAAACCTGAACAGACCCATAACGAGTGAAGAAATCGAATCAGTGATCAAAAATCTCCCAACAAATAAGAGCCCTGGACCTGATGGTTTCCCTGGGGAATTCTACCAGACATTTAAAACAGAATTAATCCCAATTCTTCTCAAGCTATTCCAAAAAATAGAAGTCGAAGGAAAACTCCCGGACTCATTTTATGAAGCCAGCATCACTCTGATTCCCAAGCCAGACAGAGATCCAACAAAAAAAGAGAACTATAGGCCAATATCCTTGATGAATACGGATGCAAAAATTCTCAACAAGATCCTTGCAAATCGAATCCAGCAGCATATCAAAAGAATCATCCACCAAGATCAAGTGGGATTCATTCCTGGGTTACAGGGCTGGTTCAACATTCGCAAATCAATCAATGTGATCCATCATATCAATAAAAGAAAAGATAAAAACCATATGATCCTGTCAATAGATGCAGAAAAAGCATTTGACAAAATACAGCATCCCTTCTTAATAAAGACTCTCGAGAAAGTTGGGATAGAAGGAACCTACTTAAACATCATCAAAGCCATCTATGAGAAGCCTTCAGCTAACATCATCCTCAACGGGGAAAAACTGAGAGCTTTCCCCCTGAGATCAGGAACACGACAGGGATGTCCACTCTCACCACTGTTGTTTAACATAGTGCTGGAAGTCCTAGCATCAGCCATCAGACAACAAAAGGAAATCAAAGGCATCAGAATTGGCAAAGAGGAAGTCAAACTTTCACTCTTCGCAGATGACATGATACTCTACATAGAAAACCCGACAGACTCCACCAGAAGCCTACTAGAACTGATCCAAGAATTCAGCCAAGTTGCAGGGTACAAAATCAACGTACAGAAATCGGTTGCATTTTTATACACCAATAATGAAGCAACAGAAAGAGAAATCAAGAAACTGATCCCATTCACAATTGCACAAAAAACCATAAAATACCTCGGAATAAACCTAACCAAGGATACAAGAGATCTGTATGATGAAAACTATAGAAAACTTATGAAGGAAATTGAAGAAGACACAAAGAAATGGAAAAACATTCCATGCTCATGGATAGGAAGAATAAATATAGTTAAGATGTCATTACTACCTAAAGCACTCTACACATTCAATGCAATTCCAATCAAAATTGCACCAGCATACTTCTCAAAACTAGAACAAACTATCCAAAAATTTGTATGGAACCACAAAAGACCCCGAATAGCCAAAGTAATACTGAAAAATAAAACCAAAACGGGAGGTATCACCATCCCAGACTTCAGCCTCTACTACAAAGCTGTCATCCTCAAGACAGTATGGTATTGGCACAAAAACAGACACATAGACCAATGGAACAGAATTGAGAACTCAGAAGTGGACCCAAAAGTATACAGCCAACTGATCTTTGACAAAGCAGGAAAGAATATCCAATGGAAAAAAGACAGCCTTTTTAACAGATGGTGTTGGGAGAACTGGACAGCAACATGCAGAAGAATGAAACTAGATCATTTTCTCACACCATGCACAAAAATCAACTCAAAATGGATAAAGGACCTGAACGTGAGACAGGAAACTATCAACACCCTAGAGGAGAAAGCAGGAAACAACCTCCTTGACCTCCACCGCAGCAACTTCTTACTTGACACATCCCCAAAAGCAAGGGAATCAAGAGCAAAAATAAACTGTTGGGACCTCATCAAGATTAAAAGCTTCTGCACAGCCAAGGAAACAACCCAGAAAATTAATAGGCAACCAACGGAATGGGAAAAGATAGTTGCAAATGACATATCAGATAAAGGGTTAATATCCAGAATCTATAAGGAACTCACCAAACTACACGCCCGAAAAACAAACAACCCAGTGAAGAAATGGGCAGAAGACATGAACAGACACTTCTCCAAAGAGGACATCCAGATGGCCAACAGACACATGAAACGATGCTCAGCATCCCTCCTCATCAGGGAAATACAAATCAAAACCACACTGAGATACCACCTCACGCCAGTCAGAGTGGCTAAAATGAGCAAATCAGAGAACTCTAGATGCTGGCGAGGATGTGGAGAAACGGGCACCCTCCTACACTGTTGGTGGGAATGTAAACTGGTACAGCCCCTCTGGAAAACAGTGTGGAGGTTCCTCAGGAAACTAACAATAGAACTCCCCTATGACCCAGCAATAGCACTGCTAGGAATTTACCCAAGGGATACAGAAATGCTGAGGCATAGGAGCACATGTACCCCAATGTTCATAGCAGCACTCTCCACAATAGCTAAAACATGGAAAGAGCCTAAGTGTCCATCAACAGATGAATGGATCAAGAAGATGTGGTTTATCTATACCATGGAATACTACATGGCAATGAGAAACAATGAAATCTGGCCATGTGTAGCAACATGGATGGACCTTGAGGGTGTTATGCTGAGCGAAATAAGTCAGGCAGAGAAGGACAAATATCATATGTTTGCACGTATAGGAGGATTAGGAGGAACTTGACGGAGGAACAAGGGGGAGAAGAAGGGCGGAAATGGTGGGGGAAAG